AAAATAGGCATTTTCAAAATTATATAATAAATGATCTGTGGAGTATTTTGAGCTGAAACTTCACAGACACATTCTGGGGACACCAGAGACTTATATTACTTATTGTAAAAAGGGGCATAATATGTCACCTTTAAACTTTAAAATCATCAACAAGGTTTTACACTTTATTGATGCTTAAATATAGTTGTTTATAGACAAAACATCAAAGCTTGTCTTCAGCACTGTGTTGTATCCAAAACAGAATTTACACTGAAATGGATGGTACATTTCAGTTATGAGTGTAATTTGACTGGCTTGTGAAATTAATAAAATAGTCATAATAACCTGGGAATTATGTGCGTTTACTTAGATGTCTGAATTAAATTATAAGCAGTGAAAGTTGGACTTATTAACTTAGAATTGTAATCGAGTCAGGGTAAAAATATTTAGTAATATACGATACAGTATACTTTATTACTAAAGTTTTGGTGCAAATTGTTTAGAATAACTACATCCCTGTACAAAACAAATATTGTTCATTGTTTTTAATTTTTCAGACATTTCTGTGCTGCAACAAAGTGTGAAAATCAAATAGCTTTCCGGTGAACCCTTCAAAGTTAAATTTTTGTAACACCAACATGTAATTTGCTACTATATACTGTATTTGTTAATATATATAAATGTGTCCCTGGAGCACAAAAGCAATCATAAGCAGCACATGTATATTTGTAGCAATAGCCAACAATACATTGTATGGGTCAAAATTATCCATTTTTTTTAATGCCAAAAATCATTAGGATATTAAGTAAAGATCATGTTCCATGAAGATATTTTGTAAATCTCCTACCGTAAATATATCAAAACTTAATTTTTGATTAGTAATATGCATTGCTAAGAACTTCATTTGAACAACTTTAAAGATGATTTTCTCAATATTTAGATTTTTTTGCACCCTCAGATTCCAGATTTTCAAATAGTTGTATCTCGGCCAAATATTGTCCTATCCTAACAAACCATACATCAATGGAAAGCTATTTATTCGGCTTTCAGATGATGTATAAATCTCAATTTTAAAAAATTGACCCTTATGACTGGTTTTGTGCTCCAGGGTCACATACATAGAAATATGGATATATATAGAGAGAGAGAAAGCGGGAGGGTTTTAGGACCCTGATGAGCATGAGAATCAGAAGCTTCACCAGTCAAGAGAGAGAGAGAGAGAGATAGAGAGAGGACAGAAGAGCTGTGGTGTTGTGTGTGTGCTCTCAGTGTGTTCCCTGCTGAGGGCTCGAGCGCAGACCTCCGTGAGACTCGACACGAGTGTGTGTGTATGTGTGTGTGTGTGTGCGTGTGTGTGCCGAGCTGTGACACACAGGAGGGAATGACATGAACGCTCATGAGAGGAAGCGAGGAAGAGACCTGTAAGCACTCGCTGCTGCTGCATGCTTACACAAACACACACACACACACACACACACACACACACACACGGGACTGGAGATGGAGAAAGTGGAGCTTCAGAACTGTGTGTGTGTGTGTGTGTGTGTGAGAGACAGATAGTTTTGTTGGACAGAAGTGGATGGACAGATTGATGGATAGAGGGATGGACGGATGGATAAAAACTGCAGCAGATTCTGATGCTTGTGGTTTGTGTTTCAGACGCGGACAGCAAGTGTTTCTGAGAGCCGACGACACACCTGCTGCTGTCCTGCCCTCCCTACAGGTATCTATCTATCTATCTATCTATCTATCTACAGTCAAACCAAAAATTATTCAGACAGCAGATGTAATTTTTTATATTTTTTTTACTAGTGGGTGCTGGACACTATAGTTCATTTATGTAATATACTGTGAGATATTACACCCAAACATTCTTCATACAGTGGACTACCGGATTAAAAATGATTCAGACACTTTGAGCTGAGCATGTTTTGCTGAAGTGTTATTCTTTAATTGCTAATGTGATCTTTTTACACCACAGACTGAACAGAATGAAGCACTGCTTGGTAATTAGTTGAGCTAAATTGGTTTGATCTAATTGTGTTCTTAAATTTAACAGCTGACAGCTATTCAACAGAATTCATTACATAGCTTTCTATCAAAGTTATCTGACATTATCAAGATGAGTTTGTTCTGACACAGTTTAACTCTGAGCTCTTCTCATATTTTAGTACCGTTTTCTAAACTATAGCCAATAAACTGTGATATAATGTGAGAGATGTTGAAGCTGTCTGAATACATTTTGGTTTAACTGTATGTATCTCTACGCATCTCACACATTTGTGCTTGAATTAGAGCTTGTTTTCTTTCTTTAGAGGAGTTAAGGAATAATGGTCAGAAAACAGATGAATGATTTACAGAGCAAATCTGTGTGAGAGTGCTGTAGGCGTGTACAAGAGGGAAAACCAGTTTAGGCAGTGCTGGTATTCAGCCAATCAGCTTAAATGACAATGTAACCTGTAGAACGCAAACACACACACACACACACACACACTCACTTGTTTGCTCTCAGCCTGCGCTCTGGGTTTCCGTTCCTCACACGGTTTATGAGGTAAATCCTTCAAATCATGAAATAACCCCAAAGTATCCCTTATATGAACTCTGAGGCCGTTCCTCACACGCTTTATGAGGTAAATCCTTCAAATCATGAAATAACCCCAAAGTATCCCTTATATGAACTCTGAGGTAGAGAGAGACAGATACTGAAGATCCATGTGTGTGAGTGTGTGTGTGAGTGTGTGTGTGTGTGTGTGTGTGAATGATTCTTCTTTCAATCTCGGATGTGTTTGTTCAGTTTCACTTTACAGTAATGCTGTGTATGTAACATGAGGTAAAGCATTAGTTATCATAAACTAACAGTGAACAATCATACAGCATTTATTCACCTTAGTGATTAAAACAGTTATTTTACACAGTAATGCATGTCAAAAACTACTTTTAATATGTGTAAAAGAACTGATGAATACATGCTGCGACGGGTTTGTTCACTGTGTTTGTGTAGACGTTGTAATTATAAGTGTGTGTTTCTCATTTTAAGCTCTGAATGAGATCACAGCTGATGTGTTTTCGTGTCTTCTCATCGTGTGTGTGTGTGTGTGTGTGTGTGTGTGTGTCAATGCGTGTGCAGTCGTGTTTTAAACGTGTGCGAGGATGTGTCGTATGAAACTCCCATTCAGTCTTAATGGAAGCAAACAGATGCAGGCATGAAGAAATGATGCTGATGTTTTCAGGACAAACGCAAACATACGTCGATCCTTCATTCAACCCAAACACTCTCTGTCTGTCTGTTTGCATGAAGAGAACGAGGCAGTGATTTTATCACCCAGGAGAAAGAGAAGATGACAGGAGGACGACAGGGTGAAGGACAGAGAGAGAGAGAGGGGTAAATAGATCATGAATGAACGGAGACCATTACAAGATTAAATAATGTGACGGTGAGAGACAGGCAGATATACTATATGGACAGAGACAGAGAGCCATAGACAGGCATTCTGGATATATATATATATATATATGAATTGAAAATACTTTTATTCATCACGGACGCATCAAATTGGTCAAATGTGACAATCCTGAAAAATAGAATGTATGCCGGTTTCCACAAAAATATTGAGCAGCGCGACTGTTTGATCAAACAAATGCAGCCTTGGTGAGCAGAAGAGACTTCTTTCTAAAACATTAAAAACAATCTTACTGACCTGAAACACTAGAATGCAGTAGAACACTAGTGCATTATATATAGAGATTTTAATTATTTAATGTTTTATTTATGCTATTATATGTTCAGTTTCACTTTACAGTAATGCTGTGTATGTAACGTGAGGTAAAGCATTAGTTATCATAAACTAACAGTGAACAATCATACAGCATTTATTCACCTTAGTGATTAAAACAGTTATTTTACACAGTAATGCATGTAAAAAAGTACTTTTAATATGTGTAAAAGAACAGATGAATACATGCTGCACACACACACACACACACACACACACACACACAGCGCAGATGTGCTGCATTTGCATCTTAACAGAGACAGAAAGTGAGAATGAGACGAGAACTGCTGCTGTCAGCCGTCTCTCTGTGTGTGTGTGTGTGTGTGTGTGTGACAGCTGCGTTTAAGAAGGCGTCCTCTGAGGTCTCTCTTCGTTTGGTCTCTCGTCCTTCACTCTGGTTCAGTGGTGGCGGTAGGTCTCTCTCTCTCTCACTCTCCCTCTCTCTCTCTCTCTCTCTCCACTCTCTCACACACACACACACACACACACTCTTCAGTAGTTTAACTCGTGGTGTGTGTCTTTGATCATACGTATGTCATGTTTTCCATGTCTGTATCAGAAGCTCATCGTCTCTCTAATTAACTCATTAATGGCGTGAGATCTGGCTCCGCCCACTGTCACTGCACCCTCGTTTAGAGCTGCCGCTGATGGCCAATTAACTCCAATGATTATACAGATCAGATCAGAGTTGAACTCTGAAAGCCTTTATAATGAATGTATTTATATTTAAATGTCATTAATGAAAGCGAGAGACTGACCTTCATCGCTCTTCATCTGCCTCTGTCTCTCTCCTTCATCTCTCTGTTTTCTGCTCGTCTGTTGTCTGAGTTCAGAGATTGTGTAGATGCACACACAGCAAAATGTCACTCAGTCGTTCAGTGGTGATCAATACACTGATTCAATCTGTGTGTGTGTCACTGCATTGATCATGTCAAGTCAAATTGTTTTGTACAGCGCTTTTCACAACACAGTCTCAATGTAGCTTTACAGAAAGTCATGATGTTAATGTTTATAATATCTTAATATCTTAGCAGATTAGAGCTGGATGATAATATAGTTTACATTCGGAGGCTATTTAAACAATCAAGCAGTTGAGGTTTGCTATATGTGTATCACTTTATGTGAGTGAGAAAGTCTCTACTGCACACCAGGGCTGCATTTATTTGATCAAAAATACAGTAAAAATTGTGAAATAATATAATTTAAAACAGCTGTTTTCTTTGTGAATATCTGTTGATAAAATAATATGATCAAAGCTGAATTTTCAGCATCATTACTCCAGTCAAGAAACATTTCTGTCATTATTATCAATGTTGAAAATTCTGCTGCCCAATATTTTTGTGGAAATTGTGATTTATTACCATTCAAACATTTGGCATAAACAAGAAAAAAGAAAGAAATTAATACTTTTATTCATCAAAGATGCATTAAATTCATCAAAAGTGCCAGTAAAGACATTTATAATGTTACAGAAGATTTCTATTTCAAATAAATGCTGTTCTTTTGAACTTTCTGTTCATCTGTGAATCCTGAAAAATAAAATGTATCACAGTTTCAACAAAAATATTGTGCAGCACAACTGTGTTCAACATTGATAATAATCAGAAATGTTTCTTGAGCAGCAAATCAGCATATTAGAATGATTTCTGAAGATCATGTGACACTGAAGACTGCAGTAATGATGCTTTGCTGAGTGGCTGTAAAACACAAACACACACACACACACACACACAGGTTTGTT